ATGTGAATGTTTTTCTTGGTTCCAAAATATATTTACCTTTACTTGTCTCAAAAAAATCCTATCTCTAATCCAGCCTCTAGAAAAGATCATTTTGGTAAAGTTACAAAGACAAATGGTAAGAGAACACCGTTATTCAGCACCTAAGCTTGATGCGAATATGACCTCAACGCCTGGATGCAACTATTCGTGATCTGTGGTTGTGCGGGTTGCATATAGATACAATGAAGGCGCCTTGGATTTTATTGCTTTGTATCAATTTTTACGATTGGTTTAGTACCCGATGATCGGGGCGGGGATGGAACGCAGCTCGCTTGAGAAGCCTGCCAACCGTAGTATAGTGCGCGATTTGATTCGAATAGTGTTGTTTTTCTTGTGAGCGGGGAATTCAATTTTCCCGTAACCTATGTTAAGTAAAAACGTGAATATTTTAGTAAGGAGTCGATTTCAGTAATTTTCGTTGTGCAAACCGTGTTCTACAAGAAATGTTGGTGCTCGAAACATGTATGAGAATGCTTTCATTCGCACTTCGTCTGGTGGTCCATCCTTGAGAACGTTTCGCTTATTCTTTCTTATCCGCGCATTAAAGTCTCCATAAATTTTGTCACTCACGGTGTCGGGCCACATTCGTCATTTCTTTCTTCTTCATCATCTTCACCCTCTCCTTCATCATCATGTTAATGGTCTTCTCCTCCTACATGTTCTCCTTCCTCTTCTCGCTTTTCTTATTCTTCCTTCTTTCTCTGTTTTTTGCCTCTTTTTTGGTGTCTTCTTTTTCTTATTAACTTCTCTTTCACACTTATTTTCCGTCCGTCTTTTTTTCTCTCCTTTTTGCTCTCCCTCCTCTTCTCAATTTTCATTCCCGTCGTTCTCCTCCTATTCTTCTCTTCTTTATCTTTTCCTCCTCCTATCTCCTTTCCTTCTTTTCCCTCCTCTTCCGTTTATTTTTTCCACTTTTCCTCTTATTCCTCCTACTCCTTGACGTGCCCTATGCAGATAGAACGTGCTCTAATGGATGAGTCAAAAATAATAGCTCCTGATCTCAAGATTTCGACCATTTTGCTCCTAGGAAACCCAACTGATATGAATGAGGAGTCAAAACCCGTCCAGTAAGAATGGAGCTCACTTCGTGAAAGAATTAATTCTCCTCTGTAAGAGCCAAGTTCTCTCCGTAAAAAAGCACAATCTTCTGGGGACAAAACAGGCGCCAGAGTGAAATGCGAGCTGGAATTCATTGCAACTTTTTTAGGAGAGCGCGTGGCAGGTGCTCAAAGGTCTGCTGATATCTGGCTCAAAGCGACAACGGTCGAATACGTGCAATTGCTGGCGGAGCAATAAAAGAACCGTAGTAACGGGTCGAAACAAGAGTCTGAAGATGTGGTCTGAAGATCAAGGCTCGGGCTGGAGCCGCGGGTAATCAAATGAGATGTCATTGTCATAATGCGCCAAATTGTTATGCAATGGACCGCGAGCCGCGTTTCGCTGCGCCGCGCACCATCACTCCATGCGCCATCATCGGCCATGCTGACATCATCAATCGATCTACTCTGATTGCCGTGCTGAAGAAGAACGCCGTATGGACATTCGAGAGCTGTCAAATTTCCGTCGGTAAAGCATGTATTTCTGACGACATTCATGCATATTTTTCCTTGAAATTTTCAGATATTTTAGATTAAATTGCGTACAAAATTGTCTGAACATTTTGAAAAATAATATTCGCATTTCCCCCAGTAATTTCGGTTTTTGTCGGAAGAAATTTTGCAACGCCTGAAGGCTCATACGGCGTTCTTCCTTAGCACGGCAGCATACCATCGAAGCGTCGACGCGTCGGTCCCTCCATTTTCGGTCAGACGGCCTCCAACAGCGATGTAATTCAATTTTAGGAGACAACGGAAAATGGAAACATCAAAGTTCCGAATTCGGAGGCTCGCATTAAACGCGTATTGAGAGTTTGTCAAGTCATTGAATCGACTTGTCTGGTCATAAAATATTCTGAAAAAAGTCGTTTAACTTGCCTTAATTTACCCAATGTCTTATCGCGGGAAAAAGCTTCAAACCTCTTCTCTCGGTTCAGACTTGGTGACAATTGGTGCATTTCTATTAAATAAGATTGATTCGTCGTTTCTAGGACGAAGGAACGTAACTTCATTACAACGTTGCAAAATTGACTAAAAAATTCAATTTTTTACGAGAATGTATCCATGCTATTTTTCCAACATTTTATCTGATTTTTGCGTGAGATCAGGAGAGCACCATTTTTTTCGGAGAATTTGTCAGTCAGGAATGCCCTAGATTCTCCTCGTAAAAGTGCAATTCGCGAGGTAAAATTTGGCAAAACTAAAATATGATTACGTTCTTTCGTGAAGAAAACGACGTATTTTGAAAATGGCTGACCTTCTTCTGGGATGGTTTTCAGTGAAATTAAGAAAATAAATTTAGCAGGTACCGATTATTGACCCTCGGTCAATAAGTGAGATGAGGGCATTTCCCCCTCGCCTTGTGTAAATGACAAAAATATAGTTCCTCCAGTAATGAACAGGTCACCTTGCCCGCCATTTTTCAACAACAACAGCAACTAGCCGTCGCCGGGTCGGGTGCATGACGTGACACTTCGCCATCTCGTTAGTTCATCATTCCACTCTGATTCCGTTTTTTGCGGAGGAAAATGCTGGGAAAGGAGCAAAAATGTGATTCTGAGTTGCCCATCACCGCGACCTTATTTTCCTCGTCAACCAGAAATGATCAGTGTCGGACAAATGGAGATCGGATGGGGGAGGGGTACGATCCATTGGCTCCACAGGTCGAGCGCGGTCGCGTGGTTCCTGGAGTTCATTTTCTTCATCCCGTTCTCATCTTCATCGGTAGATTTTCTGAGCGCTTCTCTTTCTCCTCCTTCGACGGAAGAAAGCCAATTGCTTTCTCAGTGACATTAATAACGAGCACAAAAAATTGGTCAATGGCACGTGATGGAAAGAATAATGACAGCGGAGAAAAAAATACGCGCAGCATCCCTAAAAACTGCATATCCTGACATGCTTTTCATACCTTCCGCCACTTTTTCGGAATATCTATCCATAACACTATGATTCACGTTCTACTCGGAGGTATTTCTGCCAAACGGAACTATGTGCATTATGGCGTGAGCTCTGTTATGCATATATTCTTATGGGTCTCAGGGCCCATGTCGTAATGTACATAGTTCCGTTTGATAGAAATACGTCCAATTACCATGTTTAATGTACCTATTCACTGCGACTATCGGTATTTTGATCTCAAATAATGTGGCCTTAAACCGACGTAATCAAATTGTGCGCTATAGTTCATAAATACCTCATGTTCACCTCTATTCATTGATAGGAAGGATATTTTGGGAATTTGGTATGATTGATGAAAAATGAACTATGAAAATACAATTAAAAATGTACCAAAAGCAGTTTTTGCAAATTAAAAGACGGTTTCCTATTTTTACGGCAGTGACATTGCTAGGGCTATGATCGTGCATTTTGATCTACCAGCATGAAACTGAGCGAGTCTGTACCTTATTTTTTTGGAAGTCCTAATTTATTTATTGGTATGAATTCTGGCAAGACTGTACCACAACATAAAAGCCGGAACAAAATTAATGAAAGATGTTTTGGAAGGTTGAATAATTTATAGACGAATCCTCAAACGACTGGTGTTCGGACTTTTCGGCGCGACCGTTTCGGCGCGGGATTTTTCTGCGCTGAAAAGTCTGGAAACCCAAACAACTAAATGCGATAAAAGTGTTGTAAATATAAATGGACCAGTTCCTTATGGTTTCCAACTAAAACTGCATAAATTACTTGCACCACCTCGACTGTGACATCCTTCACCTGAAAAATACAAGTAAGCCAAAGAGGAAAAGACAATAACGGTTTACTTGAAGCAGTTTTCAAGAGGGTGCCTACAAATTGAGTTCAAATCGCTACCGGAAACTGGAAGCCGATGATGGACTAATCCGGTATATAGATCCAGTGCGCTATAGAATATTTAAAACACAAGGACGCGGTACTTTTGCCTGCGCCTCTACTCACGCCTTCACTCCTCATACCGAGCGCATATTTTACGTTTTGAATGGATTCACTGTGGCTCTCCTCAAGGAGCCGGCAGTTGCAGCGTGTTACCGTTAGTTTCGAATGGAACGGATCCCCGAAGTAAAAGCACCCGTCGTATACTCTATGTCCGCTTTAATTCTATGCGGCTTCTTTTTTTACATTTTCTTCCGCGCCTCTAAGTCCAAGTCCTAAGCAATCTGATTGATGAGGCATCAAGACAGTCATGAGCTTTGAGTCTCTTAAAAGCTCCGTTGCCAAGCATCGTCTCAGAGGAACAAGTTCCAAGAGGAGTGGAGGATTCGCAATTTGATTAAGTATTTTTGGGTGCACCTTCACAAGGGCACGATGACTTCGTTTGAAACCAACTCGCAAGTCCATAAAAAAACTCTTAAAGTTGAGACTTAAATTGACGTAATTCGCTGAAACATGACACGATGGTAAGAGAGATACTCTCTCGTATTCAATCAAAGTCTCTGTGCAGCGACAAGACTGTTAATATTTTACGCAGGAAACTGATAAGTCTTCTTGGCTCCTTAAAAATAATTATTTGCTTTTGTTCATACACCTCCTCTTTACACAGAAAATATCTTCCACCAAGAAATTCTTCGAGAAATAAAGTTTAATTTGTTTAACAGGTAACGTTTTTTGATTCTTAGTTAATAATTATATTCTTTTCATGCATGGTAAGTGTCTTTACTGACTCCTTTAAAATACAGTCTTTCCGACGACTTTTTCCGGCCGTCTTGCAGATTCGGAGTATCCGCGATTTTCGATTATCCGCGGTATTTGCGGTCCCAATTATCGCGGATGATCGAGACTCTACTGTATTTCTCGATTTCTTACATTTGCAGTTGTCACTGTCCCCTATTTTTACTCTGCCTCGCTAGTTTGAATTGGATCTAATTGGATACATGTTCTGTTTTACAGGTGGAAGGGTGGACTGAGGAGGCGTAGGCGGGGAGTCTCGAAATGGTGTAGTTTGACGGAATGGCCGCGGCGGGCGGAACCCAGCCTCGCCCCGCTGCCGCTGCCTTTGCCGCCCCCGCTGCCTCGCCGCCACCACCACCCCCGCACCACTACCACCGCCACAACCACCCACAGAATCACCACCAACACCATCAGCACAACCACCACCACCAGAATCGCAATCAACGCAGATCAACCACGCTTAGTCGCGTCCCCAACTCAAAGGTAAACACCGTGATCTTCTTATCCTGATTCCTGGGGCAACATTATTAATCGTTTCTCTGCATGGCGAAAGGGCGTATCTCCCTTTCCACATAAGTCCCGGAAAGCATAGAGTCATACGGAAAACGGGACTCATATTAAAATCGAGATACGCCCTTACGTCAAAGGAGCGCCGATTTGCCGGTTTGAATGGACAAAATTATCCAGAATTGAATCGGTCAGTTACAAAAGGGCTCAAGCGTCAAAAATGAGAATTCGAGGAAAATGGTAATAACCGTTTTAATTGACCCCTTATAAATATCAGAGCTCTAAATTATTAAAGCGATGAATTAATTAATCACATTATCATTTAATCTGCAATTTAAAACGGGTTGTTTCATAAATTTTCCTCTTTTTTTTTTGCCACCCTGGTAAAAATTGGCGATAGGAGCTGCGTTTCAAGATACCATAGGAGTTCTTATAACCGACTAAAGAAGGCTATTGAAAATCATATAGCTGGCTGTAGAAAGCGGAGCAAATCATATAGCCGGACTATACGAAGTTATAAAAAAGTATACAGTCGGGCTATAGTTCCTATCGCCGGGTTTTACACTTTATCGTCATTGGCTATAAAAGGCTATAGGAAATTGTGTAGAAATTCGTGTGCTTTGGAAATTATTAAGTTTGATACGGAACTACCTTAATATTTACAAAACACACATTATATTTTCCTTTAAAACATATTTTTTTTCCATCAATTAAAATGAGAATAATCCATACAGAGTGTGCAAACATTTCAAAATCATGAGTTGAAAAACGCTGACTCTGCGAGATTAAATATTAGAGCCTAACACAAACGGAGCGGCGACGCACTGGCGCCTACAAACCTAACAGGGATACTTCACTCATTGCGCAAACGCGCATTGACGCCCACAAACCTAACAGGGATACTTCACGCATTGCGCAAACGCGCATCGACGCCTACAAACCTAACAGGGATACTTCACGCATTGCGTCAAGTATCCCTGTTAGGTTTGTAGGCGCCAATGCGCGTTTAGCGCTCTTTGCCCGCCCGCTGCGCCGCAGCGTGCCACGGCGTCTGAAGCAACTATTTCACACCAGAGGTATTGCACAGTATCATAAGAAATTGAAGGCGCTCCAACATATTAAGGATGACAGGTATCCTTCAAAAGTACGGAGCTTTCCTCGCAAAATAAATTAAGATACTACGGCACAAAAAGAGAGCGGTAGTCCAAAAACTAACTAAGTCCTAGTATCCGTATTTAGTAACGTTTAGCGTAAACTTTATCGTCTGGCTGTTGCTTAATCGCCATCGGCTATAGAAGGCTATAAGAAATTGTGTAGCCGGCTACAGAAGCTATTGGAAATCTTACAGCCGGCTTTAGATCTATAGTATTTTGGAACACACATTCTACTGCTAATTTTTACCAGGGCGTATTTTTATGTCTGGCGCTTGAGCCCTTTCGTACCTGACCGATTCGATCAGCTTAGCTACATAAAATTGTGCCCAATTTGACGTACTTATGGCAGAAATATTAATTATCGACGAATTATCTGACCACAGTAGATATTCTTATCATCCAAATTGATCATCTATGCTTACATGGACTTTTGGAGGAATACTCGAGAAATGGATTGAACTTTAAAATCTCATAGGCAATGGAAACTGTCTATTAGTTCTATTCCCCACAGATTTAAACGTGGAGTAGAAACGTAATATGCAAAAATCTAAAATAACTTTGTTTTTAAGATGGTAATTAAGAGCGTGTCTTTTTTTACCCTTTCATCAGTCTTCAAAAAGTCTCTGGAAATAATTTATTCAGTTGCAAACTTCTAATCTTTACCAGGAAATGAATGACGGTCCACCGAAACAGTTTCGTGGCGTGCTTTGCGATATATAGATTGATCTGTGATTTAAACCTATGGAAAAGTATCGATAAACAGCTAGGGTTTTTGCAACGGACACCTTAATAATCGATCTTTTACCATAAGTTCATAGGGGAAATGTTGACAACCGATCATTCACGCCTTGCCACTGGACCAAAACTATCCTTAACTCAGTTTTCTTGAAAATGTCCGCTGGTCCCCTTTCTCTAAGTGTTAAGTATATTAAACAAAATGCTCATGTTACTGACAAAAGATATCCTTACGTATCGTGGATTCTGCCTCGTAGGCAACATTCTCGTAAATGTTGCAACAGTAGTTAGCTCCCAGAAACTGGATTTTGCCCGGTGGATCACATTTTTCATTACGTAAGGAACGGTTTCCTGATATTCAAGAAGATCCTTGCGAAGGACGAAATTGGACACCGATAAGATATTGATCGTGGAAAAGCACTGGTGCGGTGAACAAAATATTACGCCACGAGTCGCCATAATTGAAGCGCTGCAGTCCAAAACCGGGGTATAATTTACCAGAATCATCGCGACCATCCCACAAAAGTGCGCTTTGTAGCAATCAGGATGGAATTGCATATTCGTGTCATTCCTCTTGTCCTGCATTTTTGTTGGTGTGCTTTGATGTCAGTTTGTCAAAGAAAAATTACCGCTATTGTCCAGTCGGGATGGATACTTCTTTTTCGTTGATTCTTACCTAACGAGGAAACAATTTCGAGCCTTGAATGTGGGAGGAGGAACCGATCTATCATTCTGGTTCACACTGCAAGGGACAACATTTTGAAATGAGGAGCCACTGTTTCTGACTCACGAATGTCACCAGAGTTTGGCCTCAATAGACGATTAAATTCCGAATCCATTCCGGCCGAAATAGACCATTTGACGGCTATTGGTCACCATGCAGTGCAACATTCATCTTTGACCAAAATGGAGTGCCGCACCATTCATCATTTTTGGCTGGACGGAACATTCGTCACTCCTCCGACGTTAGGGCGCCCTATTTCACCATGAGCCCCAGAAAGCATTAAATTATACGGAAATCAGGACCCACGCGGAAATACAAATACATACCCTCGCGTAAGAGGGAACGATGCTTTTTTTGCCGAGTTTTCATTTAAAAATAGTGCGAATTAATGATATTAGGAACGATGACTTCATACACACTTCCAGCGTTTGGATGGGAAATTTGGATGACTATCGAAGCCTTTAGGATTGTCAAACCAATACTCAACTCTTTAGTCATCAGTCATCATCGGGCGAGATCTTCTCGCACGTTGATTTTCGAAAGCAACTTTTACAATTTAAGGGGAGATAGCAGTGCGGGGTCCCTAAAATATATACCGTCTCAATTTTCCGTGCAACTAAAAAGATAAAATCCGCGAGTGTCAACTTGTGCCACCAAAAATGATTCTATCCAAAGATCCCCGTAGTTGCGATCTCGATGGTAGGCGACATTATAATGTCTCAATTTAAACTGCTTATAAATCGATTATGGTATAATGCAAACCTCCTCACCTAGAATTGATTGTTTTGCATGCATTAATCACCACTGGCTTTCCGATCCTGAAAAAAACTATAACAAAGTTAGCCGGTCGTCGAGATTGCTTGAATCAGAACCTCTTGGATTCATTTCGAATCCAATCGAATTCTAAGTCTATACTTTTCTGATCGGGCGTATCACTAGCGGGCTGCGCTCCGAATGCGTAATAGCATGCCTTCGTTCTGCCGTGCTAAGGAAAAACGCCGTATGAACATTCGAGAGTTGCCAAATTTCCCTTGATAAAACATGTATTTTGACAACATTCATGCATTTTTTTCCTTGAAATTTTCAGATATTTTATATTAAATTGCGCACAAAATTGTCTGAACATTTTGGGGAAAAATATTCAAACTTTAACCAGTAAATTCGGTGTTTAGTGAGGGAAATCCGGCAGCGTCTAAAGGTTCATACGGCGTTCTTCCTTAGCACGGCTTCGTTGCTCGCTTTCATCAACCCTCTCCTCTCGGAGAGACAGATTAATAATCTCTGGCTTTGTTCTCCTGCTGCAGTAATTTGGGTCTCTCGTTGCATACAGATTTTTAATCAATGTAGCAATCAGGGAATACATTACTCAAGGTCGTTGAGATCGCTTCATTGTTTCTGGCATGGTGTTCTCTCAAACCGTTGCTCTCTCGGGTGCTCAAGGGTTTGACCTCTCCCCGTTCCAGAGGCAGCTAATGACTCGTGTGAAAACTCGCGACGCTCTTGGTAATTGATTAAGAGCATTGGTGAAATGGTATAATATCGAAATATATTATCCGTTTTTAAAAATTTGGGAAAACTGCTCTTTTGAGTATCGTAAATCGCAGAAGCATGTGATATCATGCGCAATTCGCCAAGTATTTTATAGATGATCCTAGTTATTTCTCCAACAATCGAGGACGTTACTAGTCTTACGAGTACAAAATTAAGGAGATATCAGATGTAGTTATGGAAGTTCATATAATCAATGAACAGTAATCATTACATGAAGCTTTACATAGGCTTTGTTAACGCGCTATTTAAAATAGATGCATTTATTTAAGGGAATTGTCCAGCATCGTTCATGATTCCATTCATTCAATCAGTATAACTATAATAATAATTCTCACAGAATTAAAAATTGTTGATTGCCCTTACACCAAAACGCATCCATACCGAATAATTTTCTTCTGTTGAGAAGTCACAGCAAACCTTCTGAATTCCTTCTAATTTTTTTATCGCTGTTTTCAGGAAACTGAAATTATTCCTGTATTTTCGATAATCGTTCTTGAAATACCGCCGGTTACTTTTCAAGATTTCCCTTGAAATTACAGTTCGCTTTTCGCAATGGACCACTAGACAACGTACGAATTTAAGTAATCCAATACTAGTTTCTTGACCAGAATTTCACGTAGAACACGATTCACTAAACGAAAATCACTGAAACCAACTCCTAACGAAGATATTAACGTTTTTATTTCACATTGGTTAAGAGGAATTTGAACTGCCCGCTGACAAGGAACTCAAAGCTCTACGTGAGTCAAATCGAGCACAACAACGGTTTCAGCAAGCTTCTCAAACGAGCAATGTTCATTTCCCACCGTGTG